CAAAAAAGCCCTGGGATCAGGATGCCTCCATAGGTTGTGATGGCATATTCAAAAATGCACAGCATCAGAGCAATTCTTCCCTTCTCAAGGTGAGTGAAGGCACTTAGAAAAATCTATCTAAAATGTCCTTCCTTAGTCTCACAGGCTCTGGAATACAGTTATCAGTGATACCAATGTCTTCCAACAACCGTTTTTAAGGGAGCAGTTGATAAAGGCCACATGAGAACACAGTATTCTCTGGAGACTACACTGGAAGTCATCTCTTGTGCAAGCAGAGGAGAAGAGAATGGTTATTAGAAGACAGTGGTCACTATTTCCTCACATGTTGTCACTGCATGGCTATTGCTCTTTACAACATTTACAAAGTATCACACTTTGGAGGCATGGCTTCTATCACAAAATCACAGAATATGCTGTGGAAGAGAACCACAAGGATGATTGAGTCCAGCTCCTGGCCTGGCGCAGGACCACCTCCAAGACTTACACCATGTGCCTCAGGGTATCATCAAAACACCTCTGTCAGGTTTGGTACTGTGATCACTTCTCTAAGGAGCCTGTTTCAGCACCAACCATCCTCTGGGTGAAGAACCTCTTTCTAGTATCCAACCTAAACCTCCCCTGACACAACTTCAGGCCATTCCCTTTCATTTTATCAATGAGGTCTCCCCTCCATCTTCTCTTCTCCAGGTTGAACAGACCAAGTGACCTCAGCTGCTTCTCATATGGCTTCTCCTCAAGGCCCTTCACCATCTTCATTACCCTCCTTTGGACACTCTCTATCAGCTTAATATCCTTCTTATATTGTGGTGCCCAAAAACCCACACACTGTTCCAGGTGAAGCCTCACAGTGCTGAGCAGAGCGGGCCAATCCCCTCCCTCGACCGGCTGGCGATGCTTTGCCTGATGCCCCCCAGGACACGGTTGGCCCTCCTGGCTGCCAGGGCACTGCTGACTCGTATTCAACTTGCCACTGACCAGGACCCCCAGGTTCCTTTCCTCAGCACTGCTTTCCAGACCATAATAAACTAAGGAGTTTGAGATTACAAATTCAGGCCTTGCTATACATGAGTATTGCCATATATAACTTTCCACAATTGTCACAGAAACAGAACAAACATCTCATTATCTTTATTAGGGCATTGAAAGCCCCAACTGTTAGTGATTCTAATCAGCTTTGGCAAAAGCTATTTTAACACTTGGGGCAGTGAGGAAGGTAGAGAATCAAAGTCTCAGTCACAAGAATATTACTTTTCAGAGAAGGTTAATCTTATTGCTACAAAATAAAGCTATCAGTTCTTAAATGAGGCTAGTTCAGAGAGCAATACAATAATCATTAAACTTACAAATCAGAACTCCTAATCCTTGCAGCACGTTTGACTAAAAAAGCAAGCTAAGCACAGACCAGAAAGATAAACAAAGGTTTAGCAAGACCAGCAGTAGGTCTCAAAGAGAAGTTCCTCATAGACAACCTTTATTCTTTCAATTGTTTGTGCAGAGATTAAAAAAAGAAAAAAAAAAAGGCAGGTCAGGCTCTGAAACTTAGAAAAGCATCACAGTATTGGCTTTCTACTACATCTCAAGTTCCTGCTTTAAGAGCTAGTTTGCAGTAGCTAGTTAGTGTTGCCAAAATCTGAGATTTCTTCATGAGCAATTTTTGATGTTAAAATACTGTAGATTCTAGTCCCTTATCTCTTTTAATTGCTGACTGTAATGGACTCTGTTGGAGTAGAAGTGAAGGAAGGGGTTTTACATTTTCCATATTGCCTCAGGCTACTAGCAGAAAAATTCAGGACTTTTTCTAAGGTACGTCAGTGCCAATGATGTGTCACATATCATTACTTTATAATTAGGCTGATAGACAAAAAGAATAATGCATCTGACATTCTATTAAAATAAAAATTATTCCCCAAGGCATAAAAACACTGACACAAGCATCTTAAAAGGCAGTATAAAAATGATATAGGGAACTATTTATCTCTGCTGCTTTCTTTTCCATCACAGATTCAAATAAGTAATTCTAATTTATGTATGTATTGAATATTTAATTATCCTATGCTGAGTTTTTTTAAAAATTCACATCTGAAAGCAAAATGTAAGGATATTCTTCTTTGGCTAGGAATAAAAGCTACTATGAGAATAACAGGCTACCTGCACGCTATATTACTCAAGATTACAATTCGATAATCTGCCTTTCTACAATTCTTCAAATAAGTAACTAATCACAAACCAAATACATTAAAAAAAAAAAGAAAACCAGCCTCTTCTGTCAAGAGTTTGAAATTTAATTAAAATGTAGTAATGATTCTATAACAATTCAGTGTTAAATACTGAATTTGTAAACACTAGCACCTCATTCTGTATAGAATTTTCTGTAAAATGCTCCTAACAGAATCAGGATTGAGGCAATGAAGGGCTGTAATTCCATGTAGTTTAGAATACACTTAGTTCAGATTGTGTTAGACATTTTAGAAGAATTGCCAGGTTACAAAAATGTGGTTTATAGCATAAGCAACAGTCTTCACTCAGCATGGCTAAATTTCACCTCTTCATTAACACAAGTAGTAAGAGAAGTCCCATCTATTCCTTGCAGGTACACATCATAAAATGCATGCTATTCCATCTGTTGATGTTGTATAAAGTACTAGAAGAAAGTATTTCGACATTTGTGGATTTCAGCAACTTTATTCAAAATATAAGACTACAAATTCAGTTTCAGACTGAAGCCAGCCAATAGCACATTTAGATTTTTTTCTAGCAACTACTAATACTTTTCCAGTTGACCAAAAAAAGAGAGTCCTTCATGAAGCTGTCAGTTGTAGTTCTTTGTTCACTCTGTACAATGCTTTCATTCCCAACACAATGACAGACAGAGAAGTATTGTTTTTTCAAATGTATTACAAGGAATCCTGTGATTTAGTTGTTCCTATAAAAGATTTATATTCAGAGATTATATATTCTGAAGTGAAATAATTTCCTCCTAACTATCCTCCTCTTATATTCTAGACCCAGAATTTAGAACACATTTGTTTACAGCAATATCATATTTCAGAAAAGGGCAGGTGACTTTTTTAAAAGTTATCTATTATTTTGTTGTCCGTTCCTTGAACACTGCCAAAGGAAGGGCTACTTAGCTTTCTCTCTGTACTCTAACATAGCGTGCCATAATCTTAAATGATCTTTTGATTCACCATGCTACAAAAATAAGTAGACATACAAAACCAAAAAAGGGCATGTAATACTCTAGACGGTCAGTATTTTTCAAAAGTTTAATAGTGTGCCACTTGCACTTTAGTGACAAGAGATAGCCCTCTGCTACACTGAATGACACCATTTTTTTACCAATGATTTGCAGAGAACTGATAAGGTGTTTGATGCTTTGATTTACTGGGCAGACATCTGAGGTGGTGTGTCCTATCCCCTCTCCCCATTTTCACATCTTCCCTGCATCACCAGGATTCTCGTCACTTGCCTCAGCAGTTCCATTTCCATCTGGAGGCTGCTCAAAGGCAATGTTAAATTTTGGCACGAGGTCATACTAAATACCATGTGTCCAAGCTTTGTGTCATAGCACGTGTCACAGTTCCTTGAAGCAACTTTCTACAGGAGAAGAGAAACAATTTTTCTGTGTTGCCCCTCTGTGTACTAAGTAAGCTGAGAAAAGACCTTTTTCCTCAGCATGGAAGTAAATGGTAAATGTGGAGAGATTCAGTTTAGATAAATCAAAAACCTACAATGAGCAATATAAGCTTTGGTATATTGCTTTTAATATATACAGCATAATTTTATGTATAAATTCATGTATACTATTGCATTTTGAAACACACTTGTGGTGTTAATGGCAAGGTAATCCTGCATTTTTCTAGATGGGCATTCTTAGATAGGATAACCACAGTTAGGTTCATAAATTCATTCACTTATGTTAAAGGTGCCTAATTTTACAAAACAACAGCTACAAGAAACTAACTGAAATCAGCAATATATCTGAAAATAAGAGGAGAAAAAACTCATGCATCAGACTTCAATTTAAGACTGTTTTTTAGTTTCAGGGAAAAGAACACTTACCACAGTTACTGATGATACCTCAGTTCACCTCAAAGACTAAACTGAGTATATACCAGATGCTTTCTATTACAGTTAACTTCTAAAGGGAAAAGTCAATGCCTCTAACAAAGTAAAAGTATTGATTTTTTTCCACCTGCTAAAAACAACCACAAACAAGTTAGAAAGCCTTGTGTTCTAGGAATAAACAAGAGTTGCATAATTACTTATTTCAGTTTGCAACAGCAAAATTATTTTTCTCCATTATTATTAGAATTTATTTTGTTATTCTTTTTTGAAAAATGCAATTAATGCTTTATTTAAAAAATGTATAAACACATCTCAAAATCCCCAAGATTTACTCTCACTTAAATGAAAACACAGTGGCTAAATAAGCCCCACTGCTGGAGTTCAACACCTGGAAATTTGTATATTGATGTTATTAGAATAACTACATTAGAATTCTTCCCAGAGAAAATTTCTAGACTGTATGTGTTTGGGTTTTTTTAAGTTGTGGCAATTGGACAAGTGATATCTTTAATCAGTTTTTCCCCTCATATGAAATAAGTTAATGGTTCTGACTTCCCTGCATGAGAGAAATATTGTACTGTACAGGTAATATTTAGCTTTAATATATATTAATTAATTTTACAAATAGACTTTGCAAGTGAACGCCTGACCTCAAAACATGTTCCAGTATGGCACATGACCAACCCCATGTATCCTATGTATCAATGCAGAAAGTGACTAAAATACATCAAGTATTTCAAATTGAAAACCAGCTGTTTCTGAACACGACGCAAAGTTGACACGTGCGTGCATTTCACCATTTCAAATAACAGATGCAGTCGTTTCTCTATTCATGAAACTGGAGAGAAACAGCAAAAATAATTGCCTCACTTACTAAGCAAAAGAGTCCACGACTTTACCTTTCTTAGCTTCTGAAAAACACAAAGGCTTACCTTTCTGTACACCAGCATGTTTGGGGATTCATCAGCCACCCCGTTGCTGCTTTGTCCATAATTATTTCCTTGTGCCATGTCCCACAAATTTGATCCGCTTTTGGATGTTGCACTGTAAAAGGTAAAAGTGGTTTCAGTAAGGAATCGCCTCAGGTCTCCTTGTTTCCCTGATGATTGATTAATGGACCTGACTTTCTCCTAACATGTTATCAAAATCAGTGTATGCTCTTACTCCAACGGATATTTACATTGGAGCAAAGCTGCTAATTCACCATTTACTGTCATTACTCTCTTTTGCCTGTATATAATGGATGTAATACGTTAATCTAATTTAGACGTTAATGAATTGTCATTCCGAATAGCTCCCTGACACACCGCTAACCACCACATCACGCAGAAAGCTTCCTGACAAAGCGCTCCTTCCTCCCCTTCACGGGCTCCAACAAGAGACGCTCCGCACCTTGCCGGCCAGTTTTGGGAGGATTGGCTCGGGCCATGACGCATATTCAGCAGCGTCCTCTGCTCACGGCTCGGGCCGTAGCAACTTTTGTAACATTCAAACTCACAAAAAGCAAACCAGACGCTTTGAACTCCTCTGTAATTCACCGTCACATCTGTGCTCATACACATATGCCGGGGCGGGGAAGTGGGTGAAGAGGGAAAAGGAAGAAACAAGGCGGAACACCTTTGGGTTGCTTTCACTACTTTGATCGTACTTCACCGAACGACACCGGCTCTCCGCCAGCCGCATCTCCTCCCCGCCCTCCCTCGGCTCACACGGGAGCTGCACTAGGCAGGAGCTGGGATCATGCCGTAGCTCCGGCTTTGCACGCAGGTGTGAGAATGTGCTCCATCTACAGACCACACCGGCAGTTGCGGAGAGCCCGGAGAGCCGCCGAGCCCCGCTCCAAGCACTCACCTCCACAGCCCTCCCCTGCTCCCCAGACCTCTCGCGTCCGGGCTCCGCTGCCCCCCGTCCGCTCGCCGGCCCGCGCTGCCCCCGCACCGCCGGCCAGGGGTGCGCGGCTCCCGGCGGCCAAGGGCCGGGAGCACCGGCTCTCCCGCGGGCAGCCCTGCGCGGAGCCCGGCGCTCCAGCTCCAACACCCGCAGCTCCAGCACCGAGGACAGCGCCAGCGGCAGCCGCGATGGATCTGTTCGGGATGGCCGGCGGGAGCGCCGACCCGGTCCCTCGGCGGGCGGCGCGGGGCGGGGGGCGCGGAGGGTCGCGGAGCCCGCCCGCTCGTTTACCTCCTGGGCCAAGGTCACTGCGCGGTGGCCGCGGCTCCTGCCTCCTCCTGCTGCTCCTGGCGCGCCCCGCGCGGTGGGTGTCAGCCGGCGGCGGGCGGAGGGACGCGGCGATCGCTCATCACACACACGCACACACACACACGCACTGCGGGCGGAGGCGCTGCTGCTGCTGCTGCCGCCGCTGCTGCCGCCGCCGCCGAGGCTGCGGCTCTCCCGTGCGCTGCCGGAGCGGCGGCGGCTCAGCTCCCTCCCCGCAATGGAGCGGCCGTCACGTGGGGGACGGGCACGTCAAAGGTGCTGCCGCTGCCGCTGCTCCGCCACACAGCAGCAGCAGCCCTCCTCCTCCTCCTCCTTCTCCTCCTCCTCGGCGCTCTCGGCTCGCTCACCGAAAACAGCGGCCAAGAAACTGCAGCAGCCAGCAGATCTGGCAGCAGCCCCTATAAATGAGATTAGGTAGCACTGGAAGGCTGGGCAGGAAGACAATGTGGGCTAATGGGATAGAGGAGGGGAGGGGAGGGGAGGGAAGGGAAGGAAAGGAAAGGGGGGAGTTGGTGGGGAAACTGCGTCGCCTTCTTCATACTCCTTTACCGGCAGCAACAGGGAATCAGCCTTTTCCTCTGTGTTATGCTGGACACTTTCTGTATTTTTTTCAGTGAGAATTAGGGAGAGCTTGTGCCCTGCTGGCACTGCAGACCTCTCTGAGCAGTGGCACAGAGAGAGCAGAGAGCGAGCTTGTTCCAGCCAGAAAGGAATAAGCCCTGAGGACACCTCAAGACACCTTCGGGACTGTTTTACTATGTCCCAGGCAACTGCCTAATTTGTGAAGGCCTCGTATTGGCCTCGACAAAAGAAAAAGATCAGGTCTGTCAGTCTTACTTCCTCATCACATACAGACAAAAATACTTTGCTTTTCCAAAGAGGTTGAAATGCCCAGAACTCAATATCCACAAGAACACAAGATACTTAAGTGGTTAAGCTTTGGGATATTCCCATTTGAAAGTGTCTTTTCTGGAAACAATAACTCTTACTATAAGAATGATCTTGCAAAAGAAGTCATCATCAGCTGTGCACTGCACCTTGTGGAGTGTGCACTGGTAAATCATGCAATTCAAGAACAGAGGTTTCCACACATACTGAGTCATGTCAATCCTTGCTCTATTTTTCTCACACCTCGGACAGACTCAAACCAACACTTTTCCTGCTAAAAGTTTGTTATTATCCAATACTGCAATTTTTAACTACTCTTCCAAATTTTGCAGAGGCCTTCAGATACTTTAACAGAGAATGTGGTAAATTAGCTAAGGCAACAACAGCGAGTCATAGTGGCCGCAACAAAATGAAGGAGAAAGGAAAGAGCAGATCTGGACTTCTTGGAGACACAAAGAAAGGAAGACATGGGTTTGATAATGGTCATAGAACCATTACACCAGAGTAAAGAAAGATGAACTCCAGCACGAACAGGAATCTTTTGCAGAGACAGAAGTAGTAAAAGATGAAATAACATAACACAGGATAAGAACCATCAACTCAGTTCAGTGAGATACATTGGCAGAAAAGGAAAGGAGCTCTGTAGCAGACAGACATTGTGTGTCTCAACTTTGACAGAAATTTAGAATAATTTAGTATGTCAAAAGGAAAAGGCAATATGAAAACAAATGGTGTGTAAAAGAGAAATCTGGAGTTTTAAGGTGGAAGAGAACAAGGGAAAGAATTAAATAGCACAAGTGTAAAGTGAAGAAGTATCAATGTTGAAAACAGTGGGAAGAGAAATTTATGAAACTAAAGAATAAACAGAGAATGGAGAAAAGACCTGTTTCCCATTAAAATTCATTTGACATACAATAGCATCTTGGAGAGGCTAATGAAGTCTGAATCAAAATATTAATCTTCCAACAGATCCTGTGATTCAGTCTAGTCCGCTATCGAGAAATGGGAACCAGCAGTAAAGATCTCAGTCTATAATTTCCCTAGCTTTCACACAGGCATTCCAGAAGAGTAGCAGTGCAGTGTTCAGAGCTCACCAATTTGACTATATAAGACTGACAGGTGCACTGGAAGACAAGGGAAATGCCTCCCCAGACCTGCTAAGAACACAAGTGACGCCTTGTGGCTGTATGGCATGAAAATAAACTCAAAAATCTTATTTATCAGACTGGTGTTTAAATTTCTTTTTGAGAGCAAAAATGGGAACTTCACAAAATATAGTTCAAATGTATTTTTAACCTCAAAGAGGGATAGAAGGAAAAACCTTAAAAATATTGATAATTCCTTCCACACTTGTTCTGCAAGACAACACAACGTAGTAATTGTGTTAAAGAGCATAAAAATCAAACATTAGCAAGTTTCCAGTAAAATCATTGTTTCCCCAATCTGAGTCATTTTTTTTCTTTGAAAATATTCAAATTTTATTAACATAAATGCAGTTCTAAAGCAGAGCAATGACGTGGGCTCGCTGAAGTTATTAGGTGTTCTTCCAGTAATGTCAAAAGGAACTATATTCCACACAGTCTTTAATCTCATCCTCAGAACCAGAGGAATAACTTAGACATATCAGTGATGTGTCTTATAACTACAGAGTTGTTACACTGGACAGCTTTGGTGGACCACCAAATTTTTTTTCACTTCACCAGCATGTTCACTGTCAAAACAAAGTAGGAGTTCTAAACCCTAAAGGGGTTAAACAGAAGAGAAGACCATAAATAACCCAAAAGAATTTCATTTTTGACACTATTTTGTGGTGAAAGAAACCCTGGGCTGGACTACTTCCATAAATGCAAGTAGAAAGAAAATAATATGTAATGGGATAATCTCATTCTATTGTAGTTGGATGTGTTTGTTCAATAGCCTATAAAAGGCTTTAATTCATAAATTACTTACACATCTTTCCTATGTTGAAAGTCATCACTTATCTCATAGGCGACCAGCATTAGCCTTCCCAGAAAGCATGGTCTGCCAGAAGAGGAATGGCCTTTTCAAAATGCAAGGCAAAACTACTCATTAATAAAACAAAGATGATGGGGAAAGGCTGCCAAGGGGCAGCTTTATCTAACAAGGCAATAAAGTACACATGATTGAACAAGGTGGTGACTACATTTTCTGTGTTTAGTTTGAATTGTCAATACAACACAAGTATTCCAATAACATCACATGCACGTGGCACTTTTAAGTTAAAACATTATGTCAGGATGTATACAACAATCTATCTGGACATGATCAGAAATTTTGCTTTCTGTCCTGCTGACCAGTATTGTAGCATTATGTCAGTATGCTGCCTATATCCATCAATTTATCTTGTCTTATGCCTAGACTGAATGTTCCTTGGAGTAAAGACATGCTGTGCAAGCTCTTAGCACAGCATGATCTTGTTCCATGACCAAGTCTCTAAAACATTACAGCATTATAAACAGTCACATTCAAATTTACTAAAATAACACAAGCATTCTATTTAACTAGGCTCTAAACTTAATACTGTGCTATCTTAAAGTATAAAACCCACTTTTTTTTTCCACTAGCCTGGTTAAGCAAAGAGACAGTCTGTCTACTTTATTTGAACTCATATATTTGTGACCCTACAGAACTACAAGTGTTTCACTGCCAGGCTCTGAGCAGGTAGCTAGTGATTCCAGGCCCAATCCTTGGCCTTTTTGATGGGATCTGAAAACCTGCTCCTTCAGGAGTGATTTGCAATCAATCTATTTAATGTAGGTTTTCAAACGTCATTCCAATGACTACAGATTACACCATGTATTTTCTAGAACTGAACCTAAGACTGACTTAGAAAATTCACCACTTCCTTCATGGCCCTTTTTTAAGCTCTAGGCATTTGGTTTGTCACCAAGCTTCCAACCCTATCGGAATTTTAAATTTCTTTGTCAATTTATGTTGCTGAAGTACCAAGCTTTTGTTGCTCTGGTACTCTGTTGGTTAGAGAAAGAGTTAAAAAAAAAAAAAAAAAAGAAGGAGGTCACTAAAAATCAATCTGGATTTAATGAGAAAAATTATGATTTGATAGAAAAAGAAATGAGTCATGGACAGACAATTTCACAGGAATAGAAAATTATTAGAAATAAGGAAAGCCCACATTTCCATAATCTTTTTTTTAAAGTATGAAATATAGGTATATGTACACACACCCAAAGAGAACACAGTAGAATTTGCATATATTTAAAACCTTAATGAAATTTTTTCATACCCTACTGAAAATGTCGATTATTACTGGAATAGAAAATCCACAGCTACATAGAATTTGATACCAATATGGTGGTCCACCAAAGCTATGCAGGAAAATCCAACAGCTTCTGCAGGTGAAGCAGAACAACCTCAAGCACTTGCACTGCAGTCCTGGCAATTTAGCCAGTTCTAACTTTACCCAAAAGAGGGCAGACTTTCTCAGGTAAAGAGAAAGGTTATGGTAGCTAGCTGACGTGCAACTACGAATTTTTTTCCCACAGAAAGAGCTACCATAACCGGTTATACACCCTCATTTCCTCATAAAGTGAGAGCGTTTACATAAATGAAACATATCATATACACAGCATTCCTTTAAAATTGCCTGGAAGAACCATGATTAATTAGTCCCAATCTTATAATAAATTTCCAACTGAAGAAATCAATCAAGTATGTAGGGATAGAACTAATCTCTAGAGGAAAAAAAAAAAAAAAAAGAAGATGGGGTTTAGAGGCAAATTTACATGTCATCATACCAACATCCTTGACTCAAGCATGGTTCTCAATCCTGGTCTCCCAGCTTCCAGGAGAGGCTTTTCCATTTTGTGTAAAAATATTATTATTTACCCTGAGTTTGCCAAATGGGACACTGTCTCTGCTTCAGATAAAATAATTAAAGTAACAGTGTATTGCTCTCAGCATCTCTTATCACTTGGTATTAATGACACTCTCCTTAGAAGCAAAGATGAGCTATTTATAGGTTAATATCTACATCTTCAGATGCCACATACTTCACATTGGAGTGTCCAATTACTGAGAACTTAATATAAAGTAGGGAAAGAAAACACAGTGATGTGGTTTTGTAAATTTAGCTACGATCCTTTTAGCCCAAGATATTAGCTTAATTCAATCTGACGGTAGTTTCAGGTTTAAAAAAAAAAAAAAACTGTATTTTTTTTGTGACTAAACCAACACACCAAATAACAGGTTCTTCCCCTTCATTCCTCAAGAAAATCTCTCAGGCGGGCCTAATTCATAGGACAGCATTTGTTCAGATCAAAATAGAATAATCCACTTATTAAGGATTAGTTAGGAAGAAGACATTGATTTAGAACCCTTTGACGTGAAAGGACTAGAGAAAGGAAGACTCAAAAGCCCTATAAAGGGAGGGGGAAAAGAGTACCATGTATGAGAATGCCATGGTTACAGACCAGAACAGATTAATTGCCAAA